CGAGCGTGCACGAGAGGCTGCATGACATTGGACTGATCACGTCTGCAAGCAGAGATAACGGGGAGGACACCAAACTGTTCATCAATTTAGTATAAAAAGAACCCATATCCACATGAACAAGGGAAAATCGTTAGGGCATACAGGGCATAACGGCAATATTGCGCTGCATGTTAAAATGTGTTGAACGCCAGCGATGGCCAGCAACCATGTTAATCATGGCTGCGACGCTAGAAATCCTGCTGAACTTATCGCCGTTAGCCAACAAGGACCGGGTTTTAAGGCGCCTATCGTAATGTGCCTGATTACTTTAAGACGCGTTTTAATTTATGTCGACTTGACGCAACGTGCCCTGTACAGCCGACATAGTCTGTATTCGCGCCCTTTAGCCCATGAGCGCGCGTAAAATCGCCCGTTGGTATTCGAACTAGTTTGACCGTGTTACCTCCCCTCTACGCGTTACAATCAACCGTACAGTGCGCCACTGTGGGCGTGGCTCAGTGACGTGGTACTGTCACGTGGTGTGGCGCGACATCGTTGGTTGGGATGATCCAAACCCAGGTATGACCTTTTTTGTCGCTTTTCGCTCGCAATTACCACCATGGCCATAAATTGCCATAACAAGAATTAATTTAGTTATGATTGCGAAACATACGACTATCGTGTAAATAAAACATGCGTCCACACAGAGACTGGCCGGTGTAATGAAGGCATTTGATGATAATTGTCGCGGTTTCAAGTGTTAAGCATGTAACAAACGCAGCTAGGCTTGACATAACGGCCTCTGATCAACCGGGTGCGCGGCGCACGGTACGGTCCCGGCACCAAGTGCACTGGGCGGGCACACATGACGCCGCACCCACACTCTTCACCGGAGAAGACGAGAAGAAGAAGGGAAGAGAAGAGGGCCAAAAGAAGACAGCACAGAACTGCCGAAAGAGACCACCGATGACAAGCTCAGAAGACAGTGACGTGTCCTGGCGCCTTTTTAAAAGGCGCCTGGAAGATAGCGAAGAGCTGTTCCAGCCACCCGCCACCGCCGTCGCCTAGCTTGCTGCTCGGGACTATCGAGTTTGGTGTGTTTGATCATTTTGTTTCTTCTCATGTGCTCTCTTACGATAGCTTATACGCGCTTTTTCTCCATGTCTTTTGTGAATCGTTTATTTATTAGCTGTTCACAAAGTGATCCATGCTTGGAAGACATTCGATTAAACCCGTGATTCAACCGATCTGATACAATAGCCAATGCCCACTTTTTCTACAGTTTTGTGTATCGTTTGTTCATTAGCTGGCTACAAGGTGATTCAAACTTCAAAGGCATTTGTTTAAGGCCGTAATTTAACCACGTTCGTGTGCGGTGCCTGTGTTGTGATGTGTACACGTAAATTGCATGCAAGTATGACCGATGTGCCGTTATGTCATGCGTTCAAGTAATGTACTTATTGGTTGTGCGCTGCTGGCCGCTGTGTTTGGTACCTGCCTGTTTCAAGAGCACGCTTATTTGCTCACAGACGGACCGGACGGGAAGAACGTGTTCTTAAAGAAGGAGAAAAGGAGAGAGAAGAACGTTTGCAGTGACGACCCGCTGCCGCCGCCGCCCAGCCCGCCTCTGGCTGCAAACCCGCCGCACGGACTCCTGGAGTGCGGCAGGTGTATGATGATTCTATCTTGTCATGTGACGGCCGTTCTCTTGACATTTCATGAGCGCTGTTCTGTATGCGTTTCTTATATCGCGTGTTTATTAAGAGATACGAAGTGATTCTGACATAAAAAGCATTCAATTGTTTTTCGCCGCAACTAGTCGCTGTTTAAGGTATAGCTGCTCGGGTACGGATATGGCTGCATCGCCAGAGCGAGATGAGGCTGGCGGGCGGCTGTCGTGTAATTGCAGTGCGTAATGCAGCCTCTGTTTGCAGATCCGTCTCCTGCTGCCGGCGCTGCTGCAAGGCCGCAGGACTGAGCACATCATGATGCCTCACATTATGACAACCCTCGCCGGTCCCCGGCTGGCCATGGGGGAGGCCAACGGCTGACTCCAGAGGCAGCAACGAGCTCACGCCATGGCAGCCGGGACGCTTAAATCTGCCATCCGGTGCCTGTCGCAGTTGATTACCTATGTGACCATCGGCAGCGACAACCTGGGCCTCCAGGTGTGGCTGCCGCGCATGCCGGTAAGTGGTCTCCACAGCTGGCGTGCCGACTGTGCAGGCTGTCGCACCGCCGTCACCGCTCGCTTATGACATGCAATTCCCAGGCCATGGTGGAGCGGCTGGCAGCCTGGCAGCGGCCACTGCAGCGTGCGGACTGTGAGCGACGACGCCACTGTGCTGACCCGGCCGACAGTGGCTTGGAGAAGAGGAAAAAGAAGCAACGCAAGGAGAAGAAGCAGAAGCACCAGAAGAAGAAGAGGGCGGCGTTAACCCTTATTGAGCCGCAGTGACCGCCCAGCTCGTCTCCGTCTTCAGCCCGCCTCCCGGGCCCATGGACTGCGGTAAGTGTATCACAACCATGTCTCTTGTTTCGTGCCGCTTATTCTCCGACGACAGCTTTTGCGCACCTCTTTCTGTGTGTGTTGGCCCGAGTTGTTGTCAACATCAAAGGCATTCATTTAAGCCCGTCATTCATCCTCGCTCGTTTAGGGTGCTTGTGTTTGGTGTTTATCGTTGGAGTGCGTGCGTGTCTCACTGATGTCGCATTTTGTCATGTTTTCCTGTTAAGTAGTTATCGCTTGTTCTTGGTTTGGGTGTTTTGTTCTGCATTGACGTGTTTGTTCAGCCTGTCCATGTTCCCGCAGAGCCGGCTGCCGAAGAACGACCACCGCTGCCCAGCCTGTGTCTCCCCGACGACTACTCGCCTATGGAGTACGGTAAGCATGCCTGATGATACTATTTCTTTCCATGTTTTAACCATCTCTGGTAGCAGTACATTCACTTACTATTGTGTGTACGCTTATCGAGGTATGTGTATTGTACGCTGTGGGTGCATTAGACAATTGGAAAGTTGTTAAAAAGGAGCCGTTTGTTTCATGCGCCGATGTTTTCATGTGTTATAGTCATTGCCCTTAAAGTAGTTGCTCTATGTTTTCGATGTTTATTCCGTTTTCCGGTATGCGACTAGTCAGCCTTTCATTCTACCAAGATATCCGATGGCCGACACTTATGGCACATGTGATACATTTTCATCTAAAGGGGCTATTGATCGTCCGTTGTTGGCTGCTGTGCTTTTTATTTAGTTGCTTCATAAGCGTGCCTATTTGCCCACAGATCCGGCTACTGACGAACGGCCGTCGCCGTCCACCTGGTCGCCCCCGTGTTTGACGACTCTTCCATTGAGAACGGTAAGCGTGTTCAGTGGCTGTATTACTTTAAATTTTCCTAGCCGTCCATCGTAGAACTTGGCATGCAGTTGTTATTTTCATTGTGTATCCATGTTGTCATTTTTATAGCCGTCCATCGTAGAACTTGACATGCAATTGTTATTGTCATTGTGTATCCATGTTGTAATTTTCCTAGCCGTTTATCGTAGAACTTGACATCCAGTTTTTATAGTCATTGTGTATGCATGTTCTTTGATGTAGGTATCTCCTATTTTGTGTATGTAATAGACTGTTAGCAAAGGTGTCACCAATACGAAGCGTTCCATTCATTACACTGTGGTTGTCTGTTCTGATAATTTACCTACAGTGTGACGCATTCTATGTCCACATTGTTTGTTTCCCGTTTTTGTACGTGACTACTTAGCCCTTAATTCTGCCAACAGAGGGAGCTCTGGCCGACAGCCAGGCGCCACCGGCGGCGGACGCCGACCCCGACTGGGCGCCGTCCTCGTCCCTCTCGTCGGCATCGACATCACCAGCGCCAGCGGAGAAGGGAGGCCTCGGAAGAGGGTGACCGGCCCGGTACGTCACCAGTTGTCCTCTCTGTATGTGGCGGCAGACTGGATGTAAATGTGCTTCTGCCGCAGCTGGCATATCCGTGTGCTTATTCGGGCCGTAGCAAACTGATCATTCTGTGTTGCAGCGTGCAAGCTGCGGCAGGGCCGGCTTGCACGCAGCGGCGCTGGGAAGCGCCACAGGCACCCGTACCGTCTACCGCCGTGCCGCGGCACCACGTAAGCCATCCTGAAATGGCACATCACGATGGTGCACCCGCGGGTAGGCGACGGATTGCATGCTGTGCGGTTGTTGTTTGCCTTCACTCGCTTGTGCGTGTTTCTGCCGTCGATGCGTCACGCATGTCCACAGCTGTGCTGTCGGCCTTATCTTTCCAGCAGTCTGTTTGTGTTTCAGCTTGCCACACGCGCGGTAGAGCGGGCTAAACGCCCGCGAGCCGCCGTGGCCCATTACCCTCCGCCAGCGCCCAAGTGCACCCAGGCCCGCTGGCGCTGCCCGCTCGGTGCCACCGACGGGCGGCACCAGTGCCCGGCGGTTGTGGTGAATATATCACGACACATTCGGGTGCACTTCCCTGCAGGCAGTCAGGAGGTAGATACCAGCGGCGTTGTTCCTGTCATTGTTTGGACATGCGTTTCACTGTCTCAACACCGCGTGCTGTCGGCTTTTCGGCGTGTTCGGTGTGGCATCGTGAACCGTCCGTCCACAGTTCCAACAAGCGTGCGGCAGTGCGGAGCGAGCTGACCCCACGTCATCGAGCAAGCCCGAAAAGCCGCTGGTTGGACTGGAGGCCACCTCGGACCAGTTCGTTACATTCCTGCGTGGGGTCCGGGGTGGCTTTTGCAACCGGAAGAAGGTGCAGTGCCACATGCGGGCGGCAAGTGCCACCGATGCCGGTCTGCTTCCATTTACTTACTGTCACCTGTTGTCACTCGTGTTTCGCGTGTCATCTTGCGTTATTTTCGTCCGCCATGTCCGTCCCATGCACCGGGGTCCAGAATTGTGCTGGCGGCGAGCTGTCATATAATTGCAGTGCCTAATGCAGGCTCATTTGCAGCTCCGTCTCCTGCTGCCACAGCTGCTGCCAGGCCGCCGTGCGGAGCAGCTAATGATGTCTCACATCATGGCGGCCCTCGTCGGCCCCCAGCTGGCCATGGAGGGGCCCGACGGCTGGCTGCAAAGACAGCACAGAGCGCACATGATGACAGCCGGGGTATTGAAATCGGCCATCCGCTGCCTGTCCCAGTTGATCACGTACGTAACACTCGACTGTGACAACTCAGGCCTCCTGGCGTGGCTGCCGCGCATGCCGGTAAGTGCCATCAACAGCTGGCGTACCGACTGTGCAGTCCTACGCGCCTCCGTCGCCGTTCGCTAATGCCTGGCAATTCACAGGCCATGCTGGAGCGGCTGGCAGCCTGGCAGCGCTCCATGAAGCGTGACGATTGGGAGCGACGCCGTCACCATGAAGCCCAGGCGGCACGCGTCGTCGGCTTAGAGATCCAGCAGTGCTTCCTGAGCGTGTTATATTGGCCGCCGCTCTGTGGTTGGGAGTAATGTTCATGTATGTCGCTTGTCTCGTGATATATGTGTCAGTACCGTCCGTGTCCCGTCTTAGCCCAGCTGCTGTCATTGTTCGGTGCGCATTGTGCTGGCGTGGTCGTGGCTGGATGACATCGTGTCAGTCTTGTGTTTAATCAGCTGTCTTTTGGCCGACAGTTCGAGTACGTCACCACTCTGACGGAGTGCCCGCTGGTCGGCGAGTTCCCGCCACTGCCGGCCGAGGCCCAAGCGCGCGATGACCTCATGACGCTCCTGATGGTGCGGTGCGCCGGCCGGCCCAGTCACGTCACTGGCATCGCCGCCTCTTCGGTGCCCGAGGCCAGGGTGAGTAGGCTGGCTGGCCGACGTCTGACTCACTGTTGCGCGCCATTCGTTTTGCGTCGGTCGTTTTGCTGTCTGTCGTGTCTGTTGTCGGAGTGATGATTTGAACGACACACCATGTGCGTCTGTAGACTGTCGACCTCGATGGCCAAGAGCGTGGCCTCATCAAGAATTACAGATTCCGGACATCGGCCACCTCGACGCTGTAGGCGGCTGTCAGCAGCGAGCTGTGGCTGCGGCTGCTCCACTTCACATCAGTGGAGCGGCCGGCGCTGCTCACACCAGACACCACAGAAGCGACCGGGTATGTACAAAGGCTGTTCGGCAGGCGCTGGACCGATTAGTGTTGCCAGGGTCAACCACGTGCGTTTTGCACCCTCCCCAGTGTGGTTCAACTGTAAGTGTCTCTTTCCACAGGTCTTGATGGCCACGGGCGGCAGCCCGCTGGCAAGTAGCAGCGCCGCCAAGGCCTTCAAGGTGGCGTGGCGGTGTGCCGGTGAGGACGTTGATGTCCCCGATCTGACACTCGATGGTCTTGCTTTTTCATCGTGAGCAAAGAAAGAGCCAAATCCACGCTGTCTCCGTGACGTTAGGCGTGTCGGTGTGACCTTGAAATATCCTACACGAAATAGTACAAGTTCATGGGCGTCCAGCTCAGAAACAAGGTGTGAAAAAATGGCCCGGCTGTGAATTGCACTTCGTGGCCTTCAAACGTGCTACCTCAAACTCGAACAAATGTGGAACACTGTATATTACACTGGCAGTGTTCTAGCAGGTCGCCTTGTGGTTTACAGAAGTTGCACTAGACCACTATCGAGACATAGTTGTTTCATGTTTCTTGTCTCGATGTCTGACGCCATTCAAGAAGAGGAAGATCGCTGCCAAGATGCCGCTGTCAGCACGTGACTGACGCTCTGTGAGGGGCGGCACCGGAGCCGGGCGGCGGCTGGGGGGGAGCCGAGCGGTGCACGGCCGACGGCCTGGTGACCGACTGCGGCCGGGGTGGGCCGCACCGGCCGATGGATGGCACGTGATGGATTCAGCGAAGTCAGTTTGTAGGGGATCTTCCAAATTGATGCAACAACGGAGTGTTAGACAAAACTATACATGCTGCAGATGCTTTCGTAGGCAACACGACAATAGAATGAAGAAATTCCATTTACCTGTGATCAGGTATGGTCAGACCAATGTCAAACCAGCCTGGTTTCCTTTTCTAGGGCTTGCTGTGCGGGACAGTTTTTGGTGCTCATTTGGAATTTTTGATAACAGGAACCACACTACAAATCTTCCATGATGTGCCTAATGGTCAGCATGGGTCACTGATCTAAAATGACTCAGGTCAGTATTTTGTTATTTTTTAGCAAACTGCTAGCGTAATCTTTGTCGCTGATTCAAATGTAAAGATCGAAGAAGTCTGGTATGATTTCAGTCAGCATGACCTTCGAAAGGTCAATCTAGGCCACTGACCCCAAATGAGCATGTGATCTTTTGCTTAGACCAGGCCTCCTTGTTATAGGGCGCTTGGGAGACCAACTTGAATCGGACCTTGTTCGACCCTATTTGACCCGACGACTGTGACTTAGGAACCTCAAAGTTTGGCCTAGTGAGTTCACGTACAGTTCAACACAGCCTGTGAATTTGGTGCATCTGACTGTATTAGTTCCTGAGACCTCAGAGGGTCAAATTAACCCCCACCCCAGCGAGTGTAACCAACCTGTCAGCCGGGGGGTGTTAAAGTCAGGCTACCGCGAGCCACTCGTGGGCATGGCCCGGTCACGTGGTATGGCGCAGCATCGGTTGAGGCTATTGAATGCCGGCGCAGGCTAAAGCTCTGCGGTTGTCCGCCCCTGCGCATCTACACCCACCCCACCGTTGTCCAGTCTCCATCCGGAAGCCTTGTTTTCATTTCTGGCCGAGAAGACCAATCGAAATAACATTGACGCCAGGGCCAGCCACTTCACGAAAGTCCCCTCAAGAATGTGGGAAGCTGGCAAGAAAACGAAGAGGCCTGGGCTTGGCGCCTCCACCAAAGTCGTATCCAGCTGTCGGCGGCCGACGCTATCCGCAAGAAGACGGTTTCACAGCCACCAGCGGCGGCTGTGTAGACGACTGAGGAGAAGAAGACGAAAATGGCGGGGAGAGAAAAACTGCGGGCTCCGGAACAGAAGAAGAAGCTGGACACTAAGGTGCGCACGAGCCGCCGCCGCCGCCGGCATCCAGCTCGCCGCTCGCCGCCAGTCCGCCGCACGGGCGTATGGACCACGGTAAGCGTGTCTGATGGTTCTGTGCCTTGTGGTGTGCCGGCCATCATCTTACGACGGCTTGGGCGCCGTTATTTGTGTATGTGCTTTGTGTGGCGTATGTGTATTAGCTGGTGATAAAGGTATTAAGTAAATGCATGCATTTACTTCAGGCAGTCATCCTACTACGTCTCCGGCGTCCGTGGCGTCCGTGTAGCAGCGTAACGTACTGCTTTAATTTGCTGGTCTTGTGGCCGAGTTGGTCGCAAGACAATGACTGACTTACCGCTGGTTCGCAGGACTTCATTCTAGGGTCTAGGGCACCACAAGTAGAACACTAGGATGCACCTTATTGTTCCCGGTGAACTATTGAACGTCCATGCCGTCCCAGTACGGAGTGCCTTCCGGACGTCATTCTGGTGACACGGGGGCGAGGTCCCCTGGTCGATCCGGAGGCCCTTAAAGGTATACATTATATCGCATTGGCCTTTATCTCTGACGCGGAGGCCTTCTGACCCGCGCAGTCAACCATGAATCGACGCAGGAAACCTCAATGTCGCGGCAAGACCCGTTATTGCCTCAGGTGGTCCAAAAATTGGCACAAAGACTGGCGGGCAGCTTAACGGGCCCATAGCTGGAATTGGGATGGAGGGCCCGTCGTTAGTGACTGGGGACCATGACTGACACAGGACAATTGACAACACAAGTTTTCACACAGGTTTAACACAGTTTCCCTGACCGCCTCGGGCTCCCCTGTCGACACAGGACACCCTGCTAGGCACCGCGGGTCTGTGACCGACACAGGCGGGCATTATTGTAAGGGTCCGACCAATGAAAGTCTCGCGCCCGGCCTCCTCTCTACAGCAACACCAAAAGTGTTCTACACTTATCGAAATAGGGACCGGTTCTTGCGCCGTCGAATTTGCCTGCTTTCATGGCGAGCTGATATGAAAATATGGAGACTGATGTGGACGATGCGCGATGATATTGGTTCGATCTCGTTCACTTTAACAATTGGCGGAAAATAGAGCCTGGTTGCTTATGTACGTTCATGGTGCGCATCATCTGCTCCGGTATGAAGGAGTCACGTGTAACATCAATCAACCACCCAGCCAGTCCAACACCGTCAGACCCAGCAGTCATGTGCATGTGCGGCACATGTCGCCCATGCGCGGTGAGTATTTGAGGGGTAATTCGGCAGCCCGGGCCATAGCAATACAGAACAAGAACAATGCAACTGAGCCACAAGGATACGTGAGCATCCATTGGTATTCTACAACAGCTTCGACAGCGCATGATTAGCCCGCACGGATGGCCACGTGCTGTCGATCGTAATGCACGGATGGCTAATTTCATCACACGTGTCATCCGGAGGTCCCGAGCTGGGCCCGGAGCCAATCGGCTTTTGATCCTTAAATCCGTGGCCCCTGATCCCCGGGGCGCTAAATAAGACTCCGGCCAGGCCCTTCGTGTCCTAAGGCCTCCAAATCGACCCGTTGATCGTCGGTCCGGTGGGCCCTCCACGCCCTCTTCGTACCCTCTCCTTTCTTCAGTCTCTCCTCGAAAGAATCTTATTCTATTAGTATATTCTGATACGTTTTGCTAGCAAATGATCTCGATTTGTTGGTGAAAGCAGGAAAGGGCGCCCCCAATCTAAAACTTCGGGAACCACCTCTTCTACCCCCCCCCCCCCCCCCCTGTGCTTCCATTTTACAAGTGTCATAAAACCAGTTGTTGCTCTCATGGTGGCGCGACAGTGAGTGGTTCGCCGTCGGGTCGACCCCGCCGCTGCCGCCGCCGTCACGCGGGACCGCCCGCACCGACTCGTACTCGTAGTAGTTGCTGATTGGCCATTCGGCGGCGCTCGGCTCGGCGCGCCGGCCGCGCTGCGAGTGGCCCACATGGTGCTGCCGCCTGGCGGTCACAGCTGAAGTTAGGAGCAGGGACGCGACACTGCACAGGTGCTGGCGATCAGCTCTGGGCAGTACACCTGGTGCCGCCAGCTGGCCGCCCGTGCTGGAGGTGAGAGCAGGGTGCGACGGTGCTGAGGGATGAATCAATCGGCTGAAGGGACCGTAGTTATGAAGACATTGCCACCTACACGCGCAGTGTTATTGGAGCCGGATGTGCCATTTGCGTGGCTAAAATGTCGCACACTTGACAACTTTCAGATATTGGAAAAAGCAATCGAGATATCTGTAGTAATTGCTGATTGGCCATTCGGCGGTGCTCGGTTCGGCGCGCCGGCCGCGCTGCGCCAAGTCCAACAATTGTGTGGAGCTATTGTCATGCGTTAGCATAAATATCACGTCTCCTTTTCTGCAAAACACGAAATGTGCACGCAAAACGTACATCAACAGCCAAGTTCCAGTTATCCGCCAGTTGGTTATAGCCAACGCGACCAAACCAACGAACCAAACGCGACCAAATCGACAGTGCTGGATGGATTCGGGACCGAGATGTACTGCTTAGCTGCGCGGTCATGGGACGTTCCACAGCTACACCACAGCCCGCCACCTCTCCGAAATACACAGGATGATCAACGAGGTGGTGTTCACCTCGCGCCGCACGCGCAGTGAATCGGACGGAGCCCGCCCCGCCTTATCTTATTTCTGTTTCATAGTATTCAATGGTGGTTTTAAAAAACTGTTCGGTCCTCCGTAGCTGGAAAATAGTGGCTTCATAATAGCTCAGTACGTTTAACGGTGAACGTCTATCCTCAGATTATTCAGCAAGGTGCCTTGTCTGGCACGGAGGAACAGTTTGTGGAGATGTCGACAGATAGAAGGGTTAGTAGATTTACTAGACTAGATTTAGTAGATTTTCCAGTAATGGGACATCTGCATTGGATCCATGCCGAGGTCTGAATACACGGTTTTTTAAACCCTTCCATCTGTTGACATTTTTACAAACTGTTCCTCCGTAACAGAATAAGGCACCATGCTGTATAATCTGAGGATGCACGCTCACCGTTAAATGCAGCGCGCTATTATGAAAGGGATCAAGACCACCAAAGCAATGATATTTTGACTATGTGGAGGAATCTGTGGCATCCCATTCTGATGCATGCATTATCTGTATTTTGGCCAGATTTTTACTCTGGTTTTAGCGTTGGCCTGCGAGTAATAGGTGGCATATAGCGCTCCATGGCATGGAAGCATTACACAAGTGCCCAAATGGTAAGGTTTCCGTTGTCAACCATCGTTGGAGCCGGCAACATACGGTTTGAAATGGCGCTCTTCGCATAGCTTTACTTGAATGGACCCAAAAGCAGAGACCCGAACACGTTAGCGGAACTCTCGCAGCCTCATCGAAGCCCAATCCAATTCAGTGTTTCTAATTACATGCTCCCAAATCTGGAGAAACCGTGCGGAGCGCTGAAATGAGAACCGTTAAGTGCAACTAGTGCCAAATTGCTTCGAAAAAGGCCAAAGACGGCTCTTTCCCAAAACCGCAAGTGACTAGATTGTTCCCCACAATGAAAACGATCGTTCAGGGGTATTCTTAACCTCGTCAAGTTTATCAAAGTCGTAGCATCCAGCCATATTCAGTTGTCTGTTGCCTTCTCAAAGAGCGTTCTCGCTCACTAAGTAGGGACGGTGCTGGCCGCCAAAGTCCCAGCCCAGACACGATTATGAATGCCAGGTGACTGCCTCTGCACTTGTGCCATGTGGCTCTTGTTGATGTGTGGTCATTTTTCGTGGTCTACACCATCTAGTCAGTGGTAAACCAAACGCTGTTATATTATCAACATCCGCTGCAACCTGGTCAAAAACACTATTGCGGCTGCGTTAACCACCGCCGACTATGCAGGAAGTCGTCTCAAATTAAGTACTGGGTTCTTCCGCATATCTTGAGAGGCATATTTACGTCTGTGTTATATTGGTGGTCTCTAAAAAAGAGTGCAAGCCTTTTCATCACATTTGGATAACTCCCCCCCCCCTCCATGAAGCAAAATGCCACACGTGAAGTGGAAATGTCCTCCAAAGCTCACATACCTGCGCTCATAGCGAGTTGGACATAATAAATAATGTCACTCACGGTGCACTCAACGACGCTACAAGGCTCACCGCAACCCCACAATCTGCCACCCTTGTGGCGGTCAACCAACGGCAGCGTTTTAGTCAGCTCCTTTGACCTTGCATGTGCCTACCGCGTCGTGTTTGTATACAAATTCGCTTGCGCCATATCTCGAACGTGTGTCAAACCTGTTCGGTGTGTAATTTTCCGTTTTTCTGGTTGCCCTCTTAACTCGTGTCGATGGTAGATTAGTTTGTTTTTATTATAAATCGTGAATTCTAATTGCTATTTTACAGTGTCCTCTCAGTCGCTGTTTTCCACCATCCAACATAATCTAATAGTTCTTAGTTGCGATGCGCGACAGCGCCGCAACGGCCTCGATTTTCAGGCGACGACGCCTGGGGCGCGTGTGGGAGCTCAGGCGATAGAAGGTAACGGCGGCCATCTGTACAATTATTGATATATATGGTGTAGGTGTACTTTCCTACCTAACGCTAGAAAAAATCATTGCACACCATTCGTCGTGTTTAAGGCGGCACAAATCGTAAATAATCTCAAAACAGGTAGAATCATGCTCCTACCCTCGAATTTCAATAATTTCGATGGCGGGCTCCCGGGCGCCGCGCGCACCGCACCGCCTGGACTCCCCAGCGCCGCTTCTGCGTTTCCGTTGCGTAAATACAATATTTCTGCTTACCGAGAACTCTACAAAATGTACGGGACCAAGGTAAACCATTCGTCGTGTTTAAGGCGGAACATATCGTAAATAATTTCAAAACATATAGAATCATGCTCCTACCCTCGAATTTTAATAAATACGATAGAGTTCCCGAGCGCCGCGCGCACCGCACCGCGCCGCCTCGACTCCCAAGCGCCGTTTCTGCGTTGTTGCGAAAGCACGATATTTCTGCTTATCAAGAAACATAAAACATGTACGGGACCAAGGTAACAATAATAAAGCAACCAAAATCGTTTCTTATCGAGTTTAGGTACATTTATGAAACACACAGGCCAGGATAGTCCAGAACATATCCTAAACTAGCGTAACCTAACCTAACCTAACCTGACCTGACTGACCTGACCTGACCTGACCTGACCTGACCTGACCTGACCTGACCTGACCTGACCTAACCTAACCTAACTGAGAATAGACCAGAACCTAAGCTAAGCTAAGCTAAGCTAGCCTGACCTGACCTAAGCTAACCCAACCTAACCTAACCTGAGAATAGACCAGATCCTAAGCTTAGCTAAGCTAACCTACCCTAACCTAACCTAACCTAACTAACCTAACCTAACCTAACCTAACCTAGCCTAACCTCCCCACCCTATAACCCCTTCAACCCAGCATCCCATAGCTAAGCTAAGCTAAGCTAGCCTGACCTGACCTGACCTAACCTAACCTAGCCTAGCCTAGCCTAGCCTAGCCTAGCCTGGCCTAACCTAACCTAACCTAACCTAACCTAACCTAACCTGAGCTTAGATATAAGCTCATAGACCTTATGAGCTTAGATATAAGCTAATAGACCAGAACCTAAGCTAAGCTAAGCTAACCTACCCTACCCTAACCTAACTAACCTATCCTAACCTAACCTGACCTAACCTAACCTAACCTAACCTAATCTAACCTAACCTAACCTCCCCACCCTATATCCCCTTCAGCCCAGCATCCCATTGGCGTCCATGTTCCATGCCATATATGGGTGCCATATAGTGAGCTTTTATTTAGCTGTCATGTTCTCATTTTGCTTTACATTCCCCACCCAATCCCCCTGCAACCCATGGTCCCGTTGGCGTCGAGGATCAAATTTCATGGATTCTTGTTACCTTGGCCCGGTACATTTTTATGGTTATTGATGCTGCTTGATGCACAGTAATGTTGTGACCCGCGCAGTAATGGCGCCGGTGTCGCGGGTGCTGTGTGTGTGCGGCGCTCGGGAGCTCGCCATCGTAATTATAAAAAATTGAAGGTAGGATTATGAATCTACGTGTTTTGTGATTATTTACGATATGTCCTGCCTTAAACACGACGAATGGTTTACTTTGGTCCCGTACATTTTGTAGAGTTCTTGGTAAGCAGAAATATTGTATCTACGCAACGGCAACGCAGAAACGGCGCCAGGGAGTCCAGGCGGTGCGGTGCGCGCGGCGCGCGGGGGCCCGCCATCGAAGTTATTGAAATTCGACGGTAGGAGCATGATTCTACCTGTTTTGAGATTATTTACGATATGTCCTGCCTTAAACACGACGAATGGTGTACAATGATTTTTTCTAACATTAGGTAGGAAAGTACACCCTGACCATATATATATATATATATATATATATATATATATATATATATATATATATATATATATATATATATATATATGGTGCGACCACCAGTTGTGTCGATGGCCGGAGATAGCGGACGGACAGTGCTGCGATACCCTGCCATTCTCTTTCCCGTCCCCCGGCAGGTGCAGAGCCAGCGGAAGGGGGCGGCGGCGGATAGAGACTGCAGTGCCGGGCGGCTCCAGGACGGTAGCACCAGCCCCCGTCCGCCCCTCGCCGGCGCCGCCTCAGTCCCGCGCGAGCCTGCCGCGGGCGCGCGCGCGTCCGCACGCTCAGCACCGTTCGGACGCGCTATGGCCGCGGATCGACACGGGTCGGCACGGGGCGCCCTGCAGGTGGTCTGTGCACTCGGAATATGCGTGTTCCTAGGCCCGGCGGCGGCGCGGGTCAGGGTGGGTGGCACTAGCGGGGCACCCAGTGACCGGAGTGGACCCGATAACCGGAGTGGACTCGGCGACCGGAGTGGACCCGATAACCGGAGTGGACTCGGCGACCGGAGTGGACCCGGTGACCGGAGTGGACTCGGCGACCGGAGTGGATCCGGTGACCGGAGTGGACTCGGTGACCTGACCCGGCGTCTGTCGCGCATGTCAAGATCGGCGGAGGGCGTGGGCTTCACGCGGCCGCTGGAGGAAGGTCGAATCATGGCCGCGTCTGTTGGAGAGGCCGCCATGTCCAGTGGCGCCACCACAACAAAGTCAAGCAGCCCATCGCCCTTTTCTGGCCGTCCGGCGGCCTCTGGTGAACATCTGGCGACCTCTGATGACCCCATGGTGACCTCCGGCGATAGTCTAGCGGCCCCAGGGGACTGTCTGAGCGATGTGTTCATCAGCGTCAAGACGTCGGGCCAGTTCCACGCCACCCGTCTGCCTCCCATCCTGGACACGTGGTTCAGCCGCGTCCCCACTCAGGTACGGACCCTCGGAGTGCCCTTACGCGAAGGCAAACAGCACCCACATGCCGCAGTGACTGGCATCGTTAGGTCACTTGTGACTGTAAAGCGGCTGAAGTAAGACCAGATCTCGCCAAGCCACTGTCGGCCACAGAGTGCTCCTGGCTCACCAATCGCAGCTATATTGTGATGTACTTCTACCACAGTAGCAATGGTGTTGTAGGTGCAATCCTGATGGTGCACGCTTAGGCTACAATGCGTCATAAACGCGACACTTCGTAAACCATGAATGATAGGGTTCAACCTAGCCTCGTCATGGGCAAATTAGGGAACAAACATTGGCGACGAAACTGGGGCAGTTTGCACGACTATTTTTGGCATGTGACATATGATGGCGTAACACTACTGAGCGTGATAGATTGCTATTGACCCACCGGGCCCACCCAAAACTATGCTGGGTCTCCATTCCGTTATGAAGAATGCGGGGTCGCGGCACCACGTGGGCCTCGGTCACGTACCTGCAAGTCAGGTGCCGTCGGGCCAGATGACTAGAGATCACGTGACTACAGGTGACGTCTACAATAGCCCGGTCATTGCTGCTTGCACCGAACATTCTTGTTGCCTGTGTATGTGTGAGGGTGGGGGGTGGTCACGGAACTACAAGTCCCGATACTGCAGATGATGCTTTTTCAATCCAGGAAGCTGCAGGTCACACGCATATGCAGGGCGGCTGTGTGTGACCGGGCTGCGGTAACACGAATGCACGCCCGTGTTATCGCGTCTCGGAAAAATGCATTGCATTCTTGGCCAGCGCTGGTCCTCTCGATAAGTTCAGTAAATCACTCCCCTGCCAATTATGGAGGCCGGCGTCTCACCAGCTGCTTTGACTTGGACGCACTGTCAGGGGCATGGGGCTGCTTTCAGGGCACGAGCGGGGCCACGTATTTCATGGCCCGGAAATGCATATGGGCATGTTTTTATTGCACTTCAGGCCGTCCAAAGGAGACATGTTAAGTCATACTTCATAAAACTGCACACGCCTAAGCGTGCCATGTTACGATTTAAGCAGTCCCTCCAATCTGCTATTTTGATAACGTCCGGTATACGATGTTACACTGGACGGTTCGCGTATTCGTGCCAGGTGTGCTCTCCAGGCCAAGTATTGGCGACGATTTCGACTAAGACATGAGACTTATTGTTTTCAGCCGCAAATTGTGTCCAGGTGTCTGCTGGCATAGACGTTGCGTTCAGCCATCATTACCTGCACGTGTGACATGTGCGTGGATTCAAACAGAATGAAGCGCTTTTAAATGTGTCCAGGACACCAGCAAAAACAAAAGTCCACACCTGAACAGTGTGATACGCATGTCAAGAGTTTGCATATGCAACTCATCCTTACCTTATGTACCTCCTGCCTACCTACCCAACATCCTCACCTAACTATCCTTGCATCATGTATGCCACTGTGCTGGAGGACCAGATGACAATCGCATTGAACATTGCAGTCAGCATGAGTTAGCATTGCAACAATTTGTGGGCTTCAACGAGCTCAGAAGTTACTGACGACAATTTAAAAAAATAATAATCTTGCAGCGGTAAGGTGGCAGGACTGGAGTCCGGGCCTAAGGACGCTCGCCCGTCACCTGCCGCTGTGATTTCCGGAGCATTCAAGCTCGGTGGCCGTTCATTTGCTTACCTGAAACACTGGCATTGGTCAAGCCTGACTGAAAATCTGCATTTTCTTGGCCTGCGCACGTGTGTGGTGCGACCGCGGGGAAGAAACGCGTGCACAATGACTTGACGGTCCACTGTCCGGTGGCGGCACGAGCGATGTGCACCCATCGACAAACTGCACCGAATGATGACTGCTGATTGGGGCGGGGGGAGTTGAAGTGCTCCGTTTGCCGTGGTCATATGATGTCTACTGTGTGATGTGATACAGTCTAGTCTGCAGCCGCCAGAGGGACATTTCACCCAAGTGCCGTAGTAGCAGTTTAGCTTAGTTTGTAGTTGCTATTTGTAGTTGGGCGCCGTTCATGGCACCTCAGTTCTCGCGAGGTCGACGGCATACAGTTGGGAGGCTCGTCCCTGCAGCGTGCTCTGCGAGGCCGGCCGAGCCTGGCCCGACCCGCTCCTCTGTCCCGCACCCCGGAAGGCGACCGGACGCTCTTAGGCGCGCAGACACTCACTGAGGCCTCCTCCTCTGCGGGCAGGTCGGCTCGGCTTCGACAGATAGCGACGGCTTCCAGTCACCGGCCGCGGTCCGTGGAGGGGCTGGGGAGAGGGAGGGGTCGATGCTGACAGCGTTTGCCGGGGGGAGGGCCGACCCTCACGCGAAACGTGCCGCTCGCGGTGGTCGCAAGAGTCCTGAGGAGGATTCGCGAAAACATGCCCACCCAAGGCCTAGATGTGGAATTGTGGAGGAAGCATAAGACTGCAGGCAGATGGAAGAACTGTAGTGCTGTGTCATGCGTGTCTTTAAGCTGGTCAATGGTCTACTTCTTTTTAATGTTGTGCATGCAGTGTGCGCGCTAAACAATAGGCGACAAGACATGCTACAGCAAACACACTGCCATTGTGCAAATTTGTTTTTTTACAGCACCGAGGCAAATTGTCCTGCAGCCTCTCCCGGGCAAACTATTAATGTATTTATGAGCTTCAGTTTGACAGCGGTGTTGAGTAAGGTAGGGCATCTGGAAGCATACAGAAACCAAGACAACTGCATGGCTGCCAAATTTTTGAGTTGTGCGCCCCATTTAAATGGACCAGTTATAAACAAGCTTTTTGATGCGACATTGTGAGTTGGGCGAAATACGAGCGCCAAAAGCGCTGCACAAAACGTATGCTGCGTTTCTGCGTCGAACCGTTCGTAATGACCATGCATTCAACCACCGCTGTGTTGTGTCTACAATGTGGCTGTGTTTCCTCACATTGACTTCGGTTCATCTTCCGCCATCAGATTCGTGAGCATGGCAGTCCGAGTTCCGTGAAAGTGACCGCATGTTTTCGTTTTCAGACGTGGTTTTTCACGGATCAGGAAGATCCGGAGCTGCGGCAAAGAACGGGTGAGATGTATGGCTGACAACACTTTGTAAACGTGAGGCATGTGTGAACATGATACAGTTCAACTGATGACTGGGAAATCGCAAAATATCCGGGTTTTTTGCCACACATGCACTGTCCGCATGAAATTCCTTTAAACTTGTTTGTGTCTGTTAGAATGAGAAGTCGAACTGTAGTTCTGAACTGTAGGTGTATATAAGCCGATGCTAGTGTTCCGTAGGTCCTCGCGACGCCAGCTGACGTGTGTCGCGACACCAGCTGATGTTAATGCCTGCCGACGTCGCAGCGGAACAGTGATATGTGTGGTGCCCATGATAACCTATATCCGACCTCATAAAATGAAGAAGAACTTTTCTTGCCTGATGCGTTCAGAAACCCACACAAAAAAGCGTCAAAGAAATGCGATATTTCACGCGGCATGTCATGTTTGGTGCAAGCGAAATCGAGCGGTTATCTTTCCTTCTAGCGTGAGTTATGAAAAAATATAGTATAAGGGTCCATCCAGAAATCACGGTACGCATTTTTGACTATTTCCAAACCCCCTCTCCCTGGTCACGAGCCGGTTACGTTGGGGTACCCCCCCCGCCGGTTACGCTTTGTTAAGGTAACGTTCCCAAAAAGTAACGTCTGTGTGGCTGCAATTCAGCGATAGGTGCAAAACAGATAGCGGGCGAGTTCCATGTCATGTGAGGAAGACAGAACACCCGGCCTTGAGGGTTTAAGTTGGTTTTCAGACTTTCATCTCTATTTACGCTTTGCAGTCACACTTTAGCGCGACGTTACGCTTTTTCAAAACTTCCGATCCCTCCCTTGTCACGCTTCTGTTACGCTTTATCAATGTTCTCCCTCTTTCCCTCCATGCGTAGCGTAAGCTATCGACGATCCCAAACCAATTGACGGAAGGAAGATAATGAACGCGTTACGTAGGGCTATAATGTATCACCGGCCGACTTCAATGATAATTTTCTGCCGCTTTCGGGAGTGATTCTCTCGCTCTCTACTCAGCTTGCCGGCTTCTGGAGAGCTAATTATTTTCTTAAGCTGAAGATAATTAGCATTTCAGCCCACTCATGAAACACTGCCTTTATCTCCGTATGTCGGCACTATTCTAAACAGATTATTCTCAATGCATTCTTTCCCGCTGCAGCAAACCCTGAGGTTAAATATACATTAGTGGGCCATTGTCCTGCTGTAAAATAGAAGGACCACTAGCACAGGCCGGGAAGAGAGGGCGGGGATTTGTCGAAGGTATAATTTAGCTCCGGGGTGTTACGCCGACACCGTAAAGACGCGAGATTCCAACAGCGAGCCACGCTGCGCGCGCAGTAATTGCCCCATGCGTTGCAGGAGGTCAGGTGATCAACACCCACTGTCCGTCGTCACACGACCGAGACGCTCTCTGTTGCAAGATGGCCGCCGAGTACGACGCCTTCATGGCGTCCGGCAAAAAGTAGGTTCAACTGCGTCGTTCCGTGTGCAGAAATGTTAACTGCTGCCCCTACGTTTCTTCTTCCTGCGCCGTAAAGTTTGAAGCGTCCATTCGCATCTGTACGGAAGTGCAGGGTTGTTGGCGATATCAAAGGTCTCAATGAACTCGCGAGTGCTTCCAGCTCGGATGCTAGGTTCCCTGTGGGGATAACGTATCGCATGTGTTTCTGCATGCTGCCATGAAGCACCCACATGCCAGTCGCTTTCGCGATGCAGCTGCAGCTGCTCCTCTTTGTCCCACGGCTCCCTAATGAGGAGGGAGTCAAGTCTGACTCATCCGTGGCGAACTCCTACCCCTACAGTGATTTTGAGCGCAGCAACCACGGGCTATACTTTTCATCATGGCGACAAGCTAGGCAGGGACTTGAAGTCACATGACTATTCGTGTGCGACTGCGGCTTTTCATTGTTTGCTATTGTTTGCTTGTCTGAGTCGGCAGTCTCCGTTCCGAAATTAATTTGCCCGGGCTGACTTCTGGCTACACGCTTCGAGGAGGGAACCGTACTGTTTCTGGTCATTCTAACCGGTTGATTAAATCCAGCTAGTCAACTGATGTCGCCTAACATAAATACGCACGGCTATAGTGCATGACGAGCCGTTGTTCGCTGGGCTCCGACGTGAAGAGAGCGGACGGCGGCCAGCTGTTTTTCCGACCTCCACCCGCGACTGGCCGAAATTAGGTGAGCAGGTGCCATCGTGGCGGCCTCGGCGTTTTTGTTGACCGGCGGTTTTTGCGCCGGACAGTGCGGGAAGCGGTACGGTCTCCGCGGCAATCACAGCGTGGTGCTCCTCGCCCGCCATCGCAAAAGGGTGACGCACTAATGACGGGAGGTCCTCGGGATAGGAGACCTCCGCGCTTTTGTCCCCGTCTTTCTGGCTGGCTGGCTGGCTGGTCGTCCCTCCGTCCGTCCGTCCCCTGCCTGTCCAGTTATTGCCAATCGTCGTCTGTTTTGTTAAGTTAGTGTTTGTCCGCCTCCCTATCTGTCTGTCTGCTGTCTGTACGTGCGTATGTATGTAATGTGTATGCAGCACGCGGCTGCCGATTCCATTCTACGGTATTTAATGACACGAGATTTAAGTGAATGAGCCCACTCCTCACCAGTGTAGCGCGCAAGAGTCGATGCGTGCCCGCCTTGCATGCACATTCACTGATCTGTGTTCTTCGCCCGTTCGGTACTGCCATACGAGGTTCGGCTATGTCCGGGACCGCGAAAACCCATGCCTTGATGTGATGACCGGATGATCATCAAAGTGCGCAACAGCCACGTCTTGGCACTCATGCTATGTCCACACATGTCCCGACAGTCAGCCTGGTAATGGTGTCTTCTTCCCGTGCGTACTTGAGACTGGGTGGTCAGCTGAAGTAATTGGCTCATCCTAAAGGGGGCTGCAATTGTATTTTTCATAAGACCCCGTAACTGATGCTCCCATAAAGGAGTATTTAAATTGAAATCAGTCCAAGCACCTGAAGTATTACAGCTTTGGTGACTAATCCGCGATCTTATGAACGACTAATCGACTCGACCTTTAACACTAGGAACGGACAAGCGTTATGCACTAAAGCGCCGTCCTAGTTAAAGCACCCCCAGTGTTCGCTACCCATCATGGCTGCTTACGGCCGAAACTTCGCAGGATTTCCATGTTACCAAAAAAGAAACCCATGGTGAAAAGGAAGTAACGATGTAGATCAGGAGGGTGCCTACCATATGCCAGGATATTTAAGACAAATACTTGGATGGACACAATCCTTTCAACGACGAGTGCCAAGTTACGGTCCCAAACTGAGGTGGACGACAGAGCGCAGCTAAGTTGGAGATATTCGCTCGGACCACATGACAGATATCTGGGCATTTGTCATTGACCATGAGAGGCTATAACACCTTATTTCCGATAGGCTGCTTCAAGGAATGGGGCTCAGCCGATACCTGAGGAATGTCATTTTTGCTCTGCGGTATAAAGTATGAACGGTGTCAGCCGTGAGCGGTACCGAACCGTCGCCGCTGCGCACATGCGTCTGCGTCGGGACGTTTAGAGTGACAGGTTGGGGACGGCAGATTTGTGGCCGCCACCATGCTTGAAGTGGGGCAGCACTGTTTACAGCTCTGACTATCCTTGTGTTAAGCGTAGCTAGTATGTTTAGATCACCTAAATGAAGCGCACATTTTTAACACCGAACTACCTAAATTGAACACAAAAGTGTGCAAATGTGTGGGTAACTATAATAATTATGCAAGCTTTGTTGGGTATTAAGTTGAAACTATGAAGAACTATTCATTAAGCTCAGTTTGGTTACATTAGCAACTCACACACATAGGTGTAGGTCTTAACATATATTGGAAATGCATGTTGTGGATTGGAATAGTATCATAGGTGCAACGCTCAACACTGGGCGATGTTTGCCGACAAGCAGTGATTGTGGGTGACGTGCCTAGATCCATGAACCAACGCAACGGCTGCCGGCCACGCTAGCCAGCGTATTGAGAGCACACGAACGGTCGGGCGCCGGACGCGGCCTCACCCAGCCCGCTCTGGCCGGGCGGCTCCACCGGCTGAACGCGTTCATGGCCGATGTGTTCGCTGAGCGGCCGCGGCCTGCGCACTCGCCGCTCAGCGCCGCTCGCAGGTGGCGTGCTTTTCTGGAGCCGCCCCAACCACGGGCCGCCGAGCGTCCCCCCCCCCCCCCCCCCACCAGGCCGACCAAGCGTCCCCCCTTCCCTCTCATCTGGGCACGACATCCGCTCAGCTGATCTGAACAGACTCTGCCAGTGCAGGCATCATGGCGCTGCTGGCAGCGGAGGGGGTTGAACGTTTTTAAGGCGGTGAGTTGTGGTTAGCGGTGTTTTAATGGTTAATTTACTGTGAGCACTGGCAACGGTGTTTATCGCATTATTTGGTGTCATATGCGACACAAAGCGGTTCATTAAGAGTACATCACTTTTGGTGCCCTATGTTTTGACCGCCGATACGCCTTGGTATGATGTGCAATCGTGGGCACTAAACGATTAGGTATGCCTATAGGCAGACCAGTGGCTTGATCGAGGGGCGGATCCAGGATCCCATGGTGCCCCATGTTTAGACACCTCTTAAATCGGACCCTGCGATCTTTTTGGGCTCCAGGCTGATGTCCGCTTGCAGGCACGCGTATGAGATGATCAGTAATCATCAGACACGTAGCAATGGGACACACGTTGCGTTGCGTTGGAGACGCCGGCCGGCAGTGGACGTGGTGAAAGGTCTGTCTCCCTTCTGGTGCATTCGTATGCATTACACTTACAGTGGTCCTCACTAATCCTTCATCGGTGACAGCGATTAGTGGCTCTCAAGCTGCGAGGTGTTCTGACCGAGGATTTTTGACGAGCGACGTTCACAAAAGCTCAGTCACGTGACATCGTGTGACCCGTCTGTGCAGTCGCAGACTCGTCTCGAGTCTAGACATCCTCGCGGAGTCCCCATTTCTGAATGTCCTCGCGGATTCCTAGACTCACGGATGGACCCGCCAGATGACGTGACCGCGCGGTTTTTTATAGTTATTGAGGTTGAACCAGTGCTTTGAAGAATGCGCGGTGACTCTTGGTCGCAAGGCTCTTTAGCAGCGAAATTTGTCCGTGTAATTTCTCAAATGTTTTTCATTCTATGGATGGGTTACGATGCGGCAGCAAGCACGTTTGGAACCGAAGAGTGCACTTGGCTGAGGTTAGGGACCACGAAATCCTTGCGCGACAAACCTTCCAACCGGAACAGGCCTCCCAGTTTCGCAGGCACTTACTTTAACAGGTCCGTGATGTTGCAAGGCTCTGCATACACATCAGTTTTCGATGCATGAGGCAGATATCACATTAAGCTCGGAAGCACATCTTGTTTATGTCTCCCGCAGAAAGTATTTACGATTCAAAATCCGATTAGGCCCGCTTAAACTTACATGCGTGGGGCTCCCCTGCTCCTAGTCGGGACAAAATCCGCTCCGAATAGGCCTCCGCCTCAGATGCTTCGGAGCCGTTTCCTGACGATTCAGATGGGTCATAGCCGTTCGCTGGCGCTTCAGATGGTTCTGCCACTTCGACGACGACAACTACGTCAACACGGACCAGCTGGCGCGCCTGCTGGGCGAATACGACGCCCGCCACGACTGGTACCTGGGTAGAAACTCGGTCCACGTGCTGCTGCAGATCATGGACGACGACCGGCGAGGGGTACGTCTGTACCGGAATAGTACGTCTGGGCCCGCACCGACCGGAACGAGGTCGAAAACGTCCTGATCGGTCAACCCTTGACGTGGCGGGATGTGAACGCACGCATGCCCCATTTGGTGGGGAAGGCGCTTGCTTTGGACGCACTTACAGGTCTTTCGGTTGCGTAGAACATGACGACCGAACCGTAACTGGCCACCACGTTCGCGAGCAGGAGAGAGCGACCACTCCCAGTCTTGGTTCGTCTCGGGGCCCGGGCCATTTGGTCCTACGGCCGCAGCCATCGGCCCGCTCCCCGGCGCCGTGACCACTCTCCGGTGAGACGGTCACGGAGAGCCGGCAGCCGTGAGACGCCCTCCCGCGCCAGTCACGTGACCGGAAATCCCGGGTCCGAGAGCCTATCAGCCGGCTGAGGCCTCGCTGCGTCAGCGGGGGCAGGACAGCGAGGGTTCCGTTCGCAGTCTCTGGCGGGGACGCATGTGACCAGCGACACTTGTAGGCTTCGACACGTCAGGGCGCAGGCCACCCGCCCGCTTACACCAGTCATGGCGGTCCGTGCTCATGCCGAGGCCCTGCGGCGGAGGACGCCTATTCCGACCGAAACTGTACCCTGCAGTGTCGTAAAGCCCGCCTTACCCATACAATCACACGCCACACACCACTCGGCGGATTCACTGCATGATCGATGGCGAATAGGGCGAAGGACAGGGCTGTTGTAAGGCCCGCCATGCGCATACAGTCACTCGGCGGGCTCACTGCACGACCAATGGTGAATTGCGCGAGGTACAGAGCTGGGATCATGCGCGGGCAAATACCACGGAGCGCAGCGAGTCAACGTCGCTCAATTCAATGACATTTTCAAATTTTTCGTCGGCATTCTGCGCGTCGTTCATGCGGGACTTACGGCAAATCGAAAACAAAAGAGAGCATTCTGGCAGTCACCAGAACGCGGACGGCGCTGAACGACCTGCATTTTCACCGTGCTGTCGTCACACACTGGCTGTTTCAGGAGCGGATCTCATTCTGGTTCGGCACCGGCGGCGCAGGCTTCTGCTGGAGTCGCGCCCTGGCGCTGAAAATGTCGCCGTTCGCCGGGTAGGTCATCCCGCCTCCGCAGCCGGCGTCGCCAGATGCAGTCGGCGGACCTTTGTGATCACGTGGTCGCTTACACCCGCTCTCGGTGTTCATTTACCCGTCCTTCGGGCGTATCCTTATTGGAACGGTCGCCGAAGATTAATGCGGGCAGCCTATGTCCGGTGAAAGCCGACTGATTTATTGAAAGCTGCAAACTCAGCCGGCTTTTGTATTTACTGCTGCCAACCGGCTTTGCTGCATTCAAACGCAGCCTCGTGCACTACGCTGCAGCTACCGCTCCATTAGTGTTTGCAGACGGCAAACTGCAGCGAATATACGGTGTCAGGCCTGAATCCTGTCCGTCGGTGATGTAGCCGCAGAGGCCGTCTGGTGATAGGCCGATGGTGTGGCGGTCATCGCGGTGGGGTGGTGCAGGCGGCAGCAGGCGGGAGCAGGCGCTACCTTGGGCGCCGAGGTCACCGGTCCGGTCCAGTAATTTGCAGTGGTCCGGCTGAGGCTAGACGGCAAACTACGTGACATGGATCTACCTTTAGGGTGTTTGTGACTCGTTTTTTGTTGGTGGGTCGCGATTGTGCTTCATCGCGCGTGGCAATCATCGTGCCAAAAGACACATGTTCGCGTATCCTGACCGCCCCTGGAGGGACACATGTTCGCGTATCCTGACCGCCGCTGGAGAGACACATGTTCGCGTATCCTGACCGCCGCTGGAGAGACACATGTTCGCGTATCCTGACCGCCTCTGGAGAGCGTCGACATACAGAAAGAACACTGAGCAACAACGATCCTGCTTATTGTTGATTTATTGGATTTGGAGAGCAAAATCCGTTTTCTAACCGAAAGCACCCGATTTCTTAACTAAAAGCCACCTAACCAACAGTGAGTGAAGTTCATACGTGCCCTTATTTGCGACTTGCTACAAGCTCTATAAGTCCAGAAGATATTGCTGCGCTTTGATCAAGTCGTGATAGGGTCGGTGGGACAGCTCATTTGGAACAACGTCGATTCGTTTTGCAGTGTTAAGTCACGTACGCGATGGCATTCGCAAGGCGGTTATCCCATCTCGAAGAGACCTACCACAGACGTCGTCATGGGAGCCCTCTAAGGAACGGCGCTTAAAGATTATCATGTCTTTCGCCTCCGGTGGCGACAACTAACGTAGGCGAAAATTACAGGCGCCGACCAATAACGTCTGTTCTTTGGTTTGCAGCGGAGGCCGCTTCATGCGCGTCGCCGAGAAGAATCGTCTCCCCGATGACGTCACTGTTGGGTACATCGTAGGTACGTATGACGTCATCACATCAAACCTGCGCTCGGCTCTAAAGGAGTCGGAGCTGGTTCCGAATTCAGCAGATGTTGAATCAGGTTATTTGCTTATACGCTATTGCCACCAGAACATCCGCATTGGAATCCACTCTGCAGCTGTCGAGCATTCGTGCGTCACGGCTCAAGCCGCGACGTGCGAGTGCTCGAGACCGTGTGGTGTTGCCCGGAGTCGGCGGCCGAGTCTGAGTTAGTCCGAACCTGTGCGCGCATCAGCCACGTGCTCCTGGAGTCGGAGCTGGAGTCGATTCCGCTGGAGCAAGGTCCAACATAAATTTGATCTCACAAAGGGCCCGATGGGTTTGCAACCAAGATGCGTAGCCCTTGACACTCCCCAAAAATGTAATTGCAGTCGCTTCGTAGTTATGTTTATCGTGTCAAGATACCGGTATCAGAGCCTTGCGCCTCGTTCCTCTCCTGATGCTCCTATGAGCATTGCGCAGTTATTCTGAGATTGATCGTCCTCTCCCGCTCTGACTCACAATTCCGACGGCGGCAAAACAAGATTTTGCTGCTGCGTTTGACGTACGACGCCGCACCACGCCCAAGGGAAGAGACGGCAAGCCGCGCCGCAGGGAGAGATTGCCGTCGTCTTTAATCGAAGCCTGGACGCCGCTGTGCGGTCCCTGTCAGTTCATTCCCCTGCGGTTGTACGCAGGCCATCCATCATGTCATGCTTGAACACTCTCCACAATGCTTGTTTGCGCCGGGCGCCTTGCTTGCCAGTGGGCAATGGCAGTGAAGCAGTGGTGGGCAATGGCAGTGAAGCAATGGTGGGCAATGGCAGTGAGGCGCCGCCTCAGTGTCTGTCTGAGCGTGCTGCTGGTGACGCTGCCGGCGCCGTTGCAGAACACCTGCTGAAGGTGCCGCTGACCGTGGTGGACCTATTTCACTCCCACCTTGAGGAGATGAAGTTCATTCGTAGCGAGGAACTGGGCGAACAGGTATGGATGCCTGGACGGATGCTGAGCGATCCGGTAAGGATGTCTGGATGGACAGCTGAGCGGAGAGGTCAACAGAGCCGTGCAGTGGTGATAAGATCGCCACGTGGTCCAGGGGCTTAATATCGCATTTCGTTAAGGGCCTCGACTTCTCGGGCCGCCGACAAATCGCAGCTGAGCGAACGATCTTACGCCCCGCCCCCTTCTCCTTTTCCCCACTTCCACCTTGTTCTGCCGTATAACATGAGTCCCTACAAAATAGCACGTCATGCTAATGAAAATCCCGCGGTGTGCAGGCCTCCTTGAAGAATATTTGAACATGCAATATCTTCAAACTCGTTCCCAATTTCTGACTCCCTTTTGCCACACAGTCCTCAGATACGACAGGAAAACGTGAAGGCATATGAACCTAAACGTACTATTGTAAATATACCGAAGGTACCCACATAAGGAGAGAATGGGCATGTAATACAAGAACGGAGAGAATGGGCACCTAGCTTTAGACTCAATTGCATTTATTTGGTGCATTCAAACTTCATGTTTACCGTACCACAGGTTAGCCAATTCCGTGCTCCTTGTGTTGCTCAACGGATTTGGCGAAACTAGAGCTCTAATTGGAACCTATGGCCACCAAAAATTATTAGCCACTGCACACGTGCCTGGATATCCGTTCTGAAAGCAACGGGGCTTAAACCATGTTAATTATACAAATGCCTATATTTCTAGTGCATTCTATGTCGTGACTTGTATGAAGAACGACGTAACCCCGGAATCCCGGATGATCCGACGAGATTACCCACTGCGCAGGATCCGAATTGGAGCAGACAGGTCTCGCGCTACGTCATCTGACACCTATCATTTCTTGGGAGCCCCGTCGGCTGCACTCTTTCAATGACCTAGCCTTTAATGAGATGGTGCGCTGTACCGGACGTCATTGACTTCTCATGGCAATGGTGCGGTGGTGCGCGTACAATAATCCCGGCTAAACACTCCAGGACCTACAAATCGCGAGCGGTGATATGAACGAGATCATCAGCTCCAACACGCCATGCAAGTGTATTCAGATCGACGGAACACATCTCAGCAAACACAACGAGACGACGACAGTTTAGACACATCCCGTACCAACCAGACAACACATTCCGTCCAAACGACTTCTCACAAACACAATAAAACAACTTCGCAAGCTTTACAAGTGATGTGTGCTGCCAAAAAGGAGACTGCACCTAGCACGGCGTACAGTTTCCCGTCCTCAGGCAAACACATCATCATAATAAAACCATCAAATACACCGTCGAACACCACCATTGCGCATCATCGCACCAGGCCACCCCCGCTTCTTTAGCCACAAAGAAGACGGAGACTGCACAACTTGAAATCAGACTCCTTCCCAGCCGTACGCACAACAGGAGTCTAGGCCGCGCCGCTGCACGCTGCCGTCTACGAAGTGGATAGGTTTCCGCTTCTCCGACCGGAGGACAGAGATGGTGGCCACGCTTTTGCGCCAACCTAGTTGACGCTGCACGTGGAGCTGGCTCTGACAGGGGGAGACGGAGGACGTGGCGGCGCACCACTCAATTATGAATGCCGACAGCGCCTTGTCCCATGTCGAGCCTTGCTCAGGGTGATCGTCCAGATCTTCAAGAATGAACTTCTGCATCTTGCCTAGGAGATCCGACAGGGCAAGATGCACACAGCGGCCGTTGGGTCGGCCACAGGCGGGGGGTGCTACGGACCACCGCGGGCGCCGACAGGTCAGACGGTCTGACGTAACGGGGGATCCACAAAGTCATCGTCATCGCTGTTGTCATCGACTCGGTCCCATGGGTTCTCCGTGCAATACTGAAGGGCTGGCATCTCGGCAGCCTCCCTGGACGGCCGTGCAATACTGAAGGGCTGACGTCTCGGCGGCCTCCCTGGACGGTCCTGGCGTCAGCTCTGTGGCGAGGGTAGCCTCCGCACGCAGCATGGCAAACCATCCAGATGGCGTATCACGTCATCCTGCCAGGAAAAAACAGTCCAATTACCCTTTGAAAATAGGCATTTTCGTTTTAAGAAGGTACGCTGCGTCCTCTCAAAATTGTGTGCAATCTGCAGGACGACTGACTGTACCATGGCTGACTTGGTGTCTGACAACTAAAACAGCGCGTCAAACGGTCCTTCTTGTAATCTATCCTGTTATTTCAATTTCAGTGCCCTGAAAAAGTTTGAGTCTCCCATCGTTTCTCAACACGTGTTGACCTATCATAAACACCCACTGCAAGTATTCTTCGCAAAATGTAGTGCGGCTTATTCGGGGCACGCGGACGGCGGAACAACGACTAGAGTACTGATAGCCTGTAACAGATCACCTTGATACCTTATACACGGCACGGGTCTATGAAACCTTTTATCCTAGCCGTCGTGTTTCCGGCAGCCCTTTTCACGCACAGGATATCCTTTGCTAGGATGCAGGAGCCCGATGTTTTACTATACTGATACTCCTGGGACGTGTGTTTCTAACCCCATGCTCGGTTGTGGTCATCAAGACCTTTAGTCATCGGTGTCTCGTGTAGCCATCACCTTTCGTACCAGGTATCAGGCATTAGAATGTGGGGTCTGGAATGCTTGGTTATATTTGGTATCTATTTGCAGGATCCGTACAGATTTGGACACCTTCTTATTTTGCTGTCTACCAGTCCCAGGTCGCATCTAAGTTGTTAATAGGCACGTGAGATCACAAGCATTCCTTTGAAAGCATATTAAGGCATACTGGAGCCATGAGCATGTTTAACTTAAGTTTTTGTGAACCAAGACCAGAGAACTATTTCATAGCAGTCAGAGATAGGCGATTATTTAAGCACACAGATCAAAGTTATGAAATATAAATATCATCACTGCTTGTGCTCATTAAAACGATCAGAAGACATTCAAGGTGATATGCTCCTTGAAAAATAAAGATGTTGGAAAATAGTCCTGATGTCTTACCTTGTTGCACACTCATTCAACTAGTCAGTTGTGAAAGAAAGTAATTTAAGTGTAACAGATGATGTGATCAATGTAAACGCACACTAGCAAAGTACACTTGACACTTGACATGTCTGGAGTAAGGGTAGATCATGTGCAGCATAGCAGTGACATCATGAGTACACTTTCAGCATATACCCTTTAAGTCCAAGAGCTCATAGTTAAGCACACAGGTGCCACCAACTCAAGTGGTAAGAGAGCCAATGTTTCAATTAGTTATGATGTTACAAAGGTATTTTCAGGCAGACACATGCCAAAACATCCCTTTACACACCAATGATTGAAAATTCAGTGTGTTTTGGCCCGGTCTGAGTTTTACACCCAAGTACAGGGATCCAAGCACAGATGCCTTGTGGGTGTCCTGTGCAGCAGGTGATTTGTTTGGATGCTGGATGCGGACATTTTGTGTTATGCTGGCCTCAGCTAATAAACCTATGTATCACTTCCTATTACTGAGTTTTGTACACTTCTTTACTAAATTCAGTAGCAAATTGATAAAAACAGTCAATTTTTCATCAAAACAGCAGTATTTTCAGAATAAGGAACGTTACTGCATATTGCAATGTAATCTGCCATATATTATAGGGAAAACTACTGTGTATGAACTCAGAATTTCCATCTAGTTATATACCTTGCCCATGCAAATGCTGTAACACAAAATAACTGTGTAAAACCAGACCCAATCCAGCCAATTACACCCAAAGCTTAACTCTGGGAGCATGATCAACCTGCAGGGCTTGTCACAAGCAGGGGTGGTAAGTCAATGCCAGCACAACCAATACCAAAGAGAGATCAACACAAAAAGTGCATATCCCCGATGCCCCTTCGTAATGAGATGCGGAAGTCAAACCAAACTAATAGAAATGCGTTTTCAATACGTCGCCTGTGCGCCAGAAATGTGAAATATGCTGAATCGACCGGAATCTGTCAGCACTATTGCCCTCGCTGTTTACACGGGCTGCTTGGAAACGCATGTACGAAAAAATATATGCGAGCAGTGCAGACCCCCACGGTTGCCATCAATAATCGCTGCCGTGGACGCAGCGTGGAAAGCGCGATGAAAGATTTGGAGAGGTGCAAAGGCGCGTACAACGCCAGGCACAAGCATCAGAAACGCCGCTGTTCTGTCATTTCGTTGTCATGTGGTCCTGTTCAGTTCTTCAGTTTTAAGTATCGCCATTTTCAGTCTCCCACGTTTTCCGCGGCGCTTTAAGATGCGAAGTGCCTGGCAGTTATCTGTGCGTCCACTAGTGAACTGCTTCCATTTCAGTCACCACCGTTAGTGCGAAACAGGGACCGTCAGCCGTGACTGAGCAGCCCCGTGCAGCCCTGTTGCAGCTGATTAAACTGCTGTGTCGTTCTAGATATCGCTCAGCTATGCCAACGACGGGGACACGGAGAATGTCATCAACCTGGAGATATTTAACAAGCAGAAGGACCCAACACGGTGAGCACCCAATCACATCATGCTACGGGAGAATAACTGATGCGAAGAGAAATGGTTTGAGCAGATTATTGCGAAATGGTGCCCTTGGAATAGGTTGTCGCTCCTGCCCGCCCGTATGTGTTTGTTAGGGCCCAACATGATGTAGCCTAGTTTAGCATGTCCTCAATTATGGAATATGAGGGACTGATGTCGGTTTTTCCTCGTGTGCAGGTTCTATTCACTTCACTGCCTGCTTCATCCATCTACGTCATTCTGTCCACGATGACGTCACATCAAGCTTATTATTTAGCAGTAAGGGCTTTCACTGCAGCATAACAATTTGTGCGGAGCTTGTCGAAGGGCAAATATGTAACAAACATGTTGCCACGTGACGGTGCTGTCTGTGGTACGCTATCCTCCCTTGCGCGACGCGGGGTGAGGTGTGACGGGAAAACGTGGTATGCCGTGATGACATGACGGAGAATGCCATGCTTTCGAACTGGATGTTGTCTGGTTTTACTTGTGTGCCATGCGTTAATATATGATGATCCCCTTAAAATGTGCGGAGTTGAGATTACTATAGGCGTAACAGCGCTGTTCGCGCGGTGGCAGTATGCAGTTTTGTCGCCGGCAAACGGCTGGTGCGCGCCTTGCCGCCGCATCAGCCGGCAATGCTGTCAAGCCAAGAAGGCGTCGGTGCTCTAACTGTTCCACCTACATTTGGCTGCTAGAAACTCAGGTGACTTGAAACTTTACTTAGAACACGTGTGTGCTCGTAGGTGTCGCGTGTTTTTAGGGCCCGTAGCAAGTTGTGACGTATCTGTATGCTGAGGATGTGTAACACCAAGGGCACGTGAGAATTAAAACTGTGTTTTCGCTGTGCCGCAAAACTTAATTTCACGATGAGCGGACTGCCCATGATTCGGACAGTTCATTCTAGCCGAACTTGGGCTTTGACTGGATTTCACCCCAGATTAGGAAGGCCCGATCAACTCAACGATGGTCGAATATGTTGTACAGTCGTCTTAAATGCGCATATGGAAAAAGGTCAACTTTGTTTGTATCGTAGCATCACTCGCAGTACTGTTCACAGCATATTTAGGTAATGTCACCGCCATTCGTAAGCATGTTATAAGAAGTGGAACAAGCCACATGTTTCTGTCTGATCGTTGATGCATTTTAATTCAGTTCAGTAGTGATTCTTGTGTAGAAAGATATCAGCCCTTGTCGCTTCGGGATATCACCGCAAAGCCCATACCTTAGCTTCGCAGGTATTTATGTTTGTTTGATCTCGAATACAGTTAGTTCATGTTTTCCCTTAGCTGTTTCCATTTTGCTCTGAGACCAGCGGCTCAGTCGTGGCCAGATGTCGCGCGGATCAGCGGTCCTGACGGCCGGCCGCCGCGCGTGGGACGGCGCTGATGCATACGGCCACACATCGCCTGAGTGTGCACGCAATACATGAACTCCTTGCCAAGAACACGCACACAGCCCATATTCCCCATACACATACATACATTATATATATATATATATATATATATATATATATTCCTGAGGTATTCAACTCACTGTGTGCTTTTTCTACCATCACTCACAAAGCTATGCAGATGTTGTCCTTCATATCCTATAGGATCATACACCCAATGGTTTTTAATGGGCTCCTCAGTTTGGAAAACGAGAGTTGGGCCCGGTGCTCTGGTTTTCGAAACTGAGGCCTGCTGAATTAAGCTGAGTCTTTAATTATTTTTTCAACTTACATGCACATTTTACGGTTAAGCTCACATCTAGGAATCATTTGTGTCACTCGACTCAGATCAAGCTATAATGCCAGGACATATGTGTATGCCAACCAGACTTGTGTTTGACTCAAGGTGAACCGTAAATGCACTCAGGAGTCAATGATTTAGGTTCAGTTGCAACCTGAGTCAGTTCACTAGGAAAAATGATCCTTTGAGTCATGGGCAAGTCACATTATTCACAAATGTCATGAGCTTGACCATGAGCGGATAATATCTACCAATGTTGTGTTAGTGGCTGAAATTAAAGTGGCGATATACGAAAAGACATTGATGGCCGAATTAAACTGACAATACCCGTAAATACAGCATGCATTTGCAAAATTCATCCATAGACCGGGATATACATATATATATATATATATATATATATATATATATATATATATATATATATATATATATACCGCTAGCATGCACATTGTAAAAAAGATGAGCTCACATCCAGGATGTCAGCATATGACTCAACTCAAACCTGGTTGAAATGTCAAGCATGATATACCAAATATTTGTCAACAACACAATCAACTTGCCAAAATAATGCCAGTTTGCATGATGTGATCATCATAATCAGGTATCCATCTACTTAAGTGTAGGATTTCACAGATAAACAAACATGCTTGCCAGACCCGTGTTCAGCTCAGGCTGAATTGTGAATCTGCTCATGAGTCAATCATATTGGGGTGAGTTACAGGCTGCATCTGCTCACTAGGAAAAATGTTTGTTTGGGTCATACTTGAATCACATTTGTCAAACATTTCATGAGCTGAGTCATGACCTAATTAGTTCCCACAAAATTGTGTCAGTGAGTCATATGGCTGAAGTCAAGTTGGAAGCACAAGGAAATATGGCCGCCTTAGGCAAATTTACATCTTATTTCAGTGTTAAAATTGACATGCAGCACAGCTTAGAAAACTTTTTGCAGCATCAGCACAGAATTATTGTCACAATTTCTAAACAGAAAAACCTAATGCTGTTCATCCTGAAGTTTGCCAAATCTCAGCCAGAAAGCAGAGGAAATATATATATATATATATATATATATATATATATATATATATATTCATCGAAATATAAATATGTATATATACGAAAACTAAAAATACCAAGTGGTCAAGGTGTTCTACTCCCATCGAACGAAAAGAAATGCACGACGTCCACCTCTCAACAGCCTCATTTCCTCTGTTCAGCCTTGGGTTACCGGGCTGCTCTGTTTGGTATCCATACGTACTAAACTCAGCCACTTTTCGTACGAATCGGTACTAAGCACCGTTCCTCTCGTAGCAAGGATTCGTACTAAATATTCTAGAGGACGTGTTGTCCAATGCGATATTTACGTTTTATTGTACGAAACAGTTGCGCCGCGAACGCAAGACTTCTAATAGAAATGGACAACCGAATGAGTAGTTAGCTATCTTATGTATGTATTTTCTTGGATATGTAATACCACATAGGTATTGGATATCTATGGGTAATTTAGGTTCAGTGTATCCAATGGAGACCGCGGGGGGAAAGAGCCTTCTACGGCGCTTTGTTTCATGCGTCTCTGAACATGGTTACGGGTAGTGTTTCACATTTGTAGGGTTTATAACTGAGCTAGGCGTATTTAATATCATTCAAGATAATTCACAACGCATAGTTGCATGACGCATGTGAAGATTCCGATTCAGGCAACATTGTGCTACAAAGTGACCAAAATGCATAAGTTTTGTACCTGCGCTCCTAGAACCTACCGCTTTTAGTGTGCACACAGGACTGGTACGCAGAATAAATGCATATGTCGAGCACAGAAGTGACATGGGTGGGACACCTGGGTTCTGTAGACACATAATCGAAGCACAACGGGCCGGACGGGTCAAGGCAGCATAGAATAAACAACGTGAGTTTATTTGGAGTTGGCGACAGGCAGGTTGAGCGAATGAATATGGCGCGGACGATAAGATGATCGACCAGGGCAACCGATCGCTGTTATCGCGTAAGACGAACTGCAGTGAACGCATAAGACCGAAGGAAATATGACAAAGATGCGGGTATGCAATTTGAATATGATCATAATAGTTCTCAATATGTTCAGCTCATTTCATTGTTTCGCTAAGTCTTTGATCATGGATGTAGGAGCACACAGTGCGTTTATGGCGAGTCCAATGTGTGGGGCATGCTACAAATGCGCTTAAAACGGAGATACAGTAGTGTAGGCGTTAGGCGACAAACAGCCGATCGCATATAGCAACACTGAGCCAAATGTCAGAGCATCATGCCATTGTCGGTATTTAGCGGATACGTGGCCAGTAGTCAGCATGGTGGCGGCAAATTCTGCCATTTAATTTTTTTCCGCCATTTCAGGCGGAGGCAGCTTTCTCTGACGCATGTGTCCGTTAAGATAATAGCATACCGTGCATTTGTGTTTCTTCTCATCTTTTCTAATCTCCGTAATATCCTGTCTAGTTGTGAACGGAGTTGCATTACGGAAGATAACAGAACCTGAATTGTGTAACCAGAATTAGAGTGCAAATGTGTGAACTCATGCTGCTGTAATGTTCAGAAATTGTGGTTGATGGTGATATCCCTTGTGCATGTGTTATGTCGTACGCATGTGTAAGTACCTACTTTCGCCGTCTTATACATTATCTTATTGCTGCATTGAATATTGGCAATTATATTTCGTGAGAAGATGATCCTTAGTTTGTTGACAACTGCAACCATGTGAGGCAAGAATGTTTGTTTACTTCCATATTAACTTACTCTTTGTTCATGTCACACTGAGCCCGCCTCCCAAAACCAACTTCCACGCGACAAGTCTTGATCTGTCTGGGGTCCGGTGGTGGACGACTACGGCGCCAGAGAACTCAAAGCGGGAAACGTCCCGTGCGACAATTATGAATGCCATTAGAACATTTTCATTCACGCGCCGCACTTCACGCGCTTGAACAACAGGCCGGCTGGCGCAATGAAAATGACGCGAACGATCAGCCGATCGGCCAGGCACTGATGGCCGTAACCGCATAAGTTAGAGGTCAGTTAAACCAGGCTTCGCATAAGGCTAAGGGAAATAGACCACGATACAGATATACACCACACACACGCACACCACCCAACCACGCCACACACACATACACACACACACACACACAC